CTCCTGTAATTAGTAGAGGATAAGCGATACTTTGAAGCTTCAAAATTTTCCTTAGACTCCAGCTGCAAGAAGAACGTTCATCCATGAACCAAAAGTTTGAATGCTTTATAATATAACATTGTATCCATGCGACCCATAGAGAGCCATCCCCGGCAAGGATTTTCTTGATAAGGAGGATCAAGCACACTCTATTCTAGGTTTTAATGTCTTTAAGGCCTAAACCTCCTTTAGACTTAGGAGTACAAATCGTGTCCCAACTAACCCGAGCACCAGTAGCTAGAATATCCGACCCTTTCCAAAATCTAGAACACACTTGCTCAATTTTGTTGATAATGGATTGAGGCAACACAAGTTGTCTACACCAGTAATTAGCAACACTGAAGAGGACGGATTTAATAAGTTCAAGCCTACTCGCGTAACTTAGTTTAATCCTAGACCATTTGTGAAGTTTGCCTTGAATCTTGTCGATAAGAGGCTGGCAGTCTTTAATAGAGAGCTTCCTGGTGACCAAGGGGATACCTAAGTATCTAACAGGCAGGTGCCCATGTTGAAAACCAGAAGAATTAATGAGATTTTCAATAGAGGGAACAAAGATGCCAGCCGTGAAGATCTCACACTTTAGAGCATTAAGTTTAAGCCCATAAAGCTCATAGAAATAGTCCAGAACAGAAACAACACCCATGACAGAATCAAGGTTACCTTTGCAGAAAATTAAGAGGTCATCGACAAAAGTAAGGTGAGTGAGGCCTATTTTCTTGCACTTAGGATGGAAGCTAAAAATTCCTCTGTTAGCTGTTTTATTAAGGAGATTGGATAACACATTCATGACCATAACAAACAACAGAGGAGATAAATGGTCTTATTACTATACTAATATATTAAAATCTAGAATTTATTAAGGTGATTAAATTATGTTAAAATAATATTTTAATTAATCAAATTTTAAATATTATAAAATAATCATTAAAATTTTAAAATAATTATAAAATGATCACTAAAAATTATCAAAAGTTATAGAATGATCATTAAACTTATTGAATTATTATAAAATGATCCTTAAATTTATAACTATTTATAAAGTCACATAATTTATTTTATAATAATTCAATAAATTTAACAATAATTTTAAAATATTTAAAAATTTAATAATGTTTCATTTTGACATAATACGATAACCTCTAATATATATTTTTTCTAACTTGAAAAAATAACAATCACACTGCAATTAGACTCATAGGTGTTGACTACACTGTTTGTGTGTGAAGGCTCCTTATGGCCGACCTGTGCATGTTATGAAGTAAAAATAAATGTCAAAGGACAATGTATCTTACCTATAATTATCTTTATTTTTTAATAAAATATTTGTATTTTTATTTAATATATAAAATATTTGTTTCTTATATGCATTTTGAAAATTCCCCCCACTTCCTATTTTCCTATAAATATCCAAGCAAACCCCAATGCCATTTGTTCATGTACCCCTCCCTGCAAACCTCTCATCAAACTCAAATCCATTCAAAAGAAAATCCCATTACAAAGATTTTCAATAATTTCCATTTTGTTTCTTAATTTTCATAAAAACCCAATTTAATAAAAAAGAAGAAAAAGTAACATCAACTGACAGAAACAATGGTGGTGTTGTCAAAACCAGCAATTGAACAGTTCTCTTACACCAGAAACAACAAGCCAACCTCTACATTGTTCACTCAAATCCCTCTTGTAGACCTCTCAAAGCCCGATTCAAAGCACCAGATAATCAAAGCCTGTGAGGAGTTGGGATTCTTCAAGGTTATCAACCATGGTGTTCCAATGGAATCCATGTCCCTGCTGGAATCTGAAGCCACCAGGTTCTTCGGTTTACCACTTTGTGAGAAACAGAAAACAGGACAGCCTGAACCTTATGGTTACGGTAACAGAAGGATCGGTGAACATGGAGATGTTGGTTGGGTTGAGTATCTTCTCTTGACAACCAGTCAAGACCCCAATCTCCATAGATTCCAAGGTTTCAGGTATGTCAGTTTATCAGACACACTGCGAAATGGGAGTTCTTTGTTCTTGTTATTGTATTTAATTCGAGTGTTGTTGTTTTTTTTCCTTTTCAGATTGGCTTTGAGTAACTACATGAAATCAGTGAAGAAAATGGCTTGTGAGATACTTGAAACAATGGCTGATGGGTTGAAGATTCAACCCAGAAATGTGTTGAGTAAGCTGTTAATGGATGAAGAGAGCGACTCCATTTTCAGGGTTAACCATTACCCACCATGCCCACATGTTCAACCTGTGAATGCTAATGACAGTAATAGCAATGGTGATGTGATTGGATTTGGAGAACACACTGACCCACAGATTATCTCAGTGCTAAGATCCAACAACACTTCTGGTCTCCAAATCTCTCTTAGAGATGGAACCTGGATTTCAGTTCCACCTGACCAGAACTCATTTTTCATCAATGTTGGCGACTCCTTACAGGTAAAAAAAGCAAAACATGACTGCATTTTTTCTTACCTGAAAAGTCTCTATTTCATTGATTTAATAAAGCACGTACTCTCGAATCTTTCAAGAAGAATAACATCGAGACCATCAAATGAATTCTTCTCTAATGGGTTGGTGATGATTTCAGGTGATGACGAATGGGAGGTTTAAAAGTGTAAAGCACAGGGTGGTGACCAACAGTGAGAAATCTAGGCTTTCAATGATTTATTTTGGTGGACCACCATTGAGTGAGAAGATAGCACCTTTGCCATCTCTGATGAGAGGTGACCAGCAAAGCTTGTACAAAGAGTTTACATGGTTTGAGTACAAGAAATCTGCTTACAACTCGAGGTTGGCAGATAACAGGCTCATCCACTTTGAAAAGACTGCTGCTTCATAAGAAATAGGATTATAGTACAAAACATTTCCTATAGCAGGAAACAATTGTGTCATCTCTTTTGCTACTTCTTTTCTTCTTTGTTTCTACTCACTGTAACCATCCTTCTCCTCCATATTGTACAAATGCCATTCCCATCCTAAATACCATACAATGATTCTGTGTTAGGAGTGCAAAAAATATTTATATTTTATAAAAAAAATAAATTTTTAGAAAATACGATTACTTTAACATCCCTCAATCCATCACTAGATACGAAAACATTCAATGGCGGAACACAATGGTGGCTAGGGATGTCAATGCCCAAAATTTGAAACATTATAATTTGAACCTTTAAAACTTTTAAAATAGTTAATTTGGCTCCAAAATTTAAACCGTCCAGCTCAGTTGGTAGAACACAATGTTCTTAACCTTGGGATCGTGGGATCGAGTCTTACGGTCGGAGGTCTCCTACGGAAGCTACTCTCAACCTGGCGTTGATGACACTTTACTATCATACCTTCTCTTACCCCATTACATATGAAAATAAAGATCAGTTAATTTTAAATTAAACTCCTCCCATAATTTTTAAAAATTCTCATTAAACCTCTAAAAATTTCAATAACTTTAGTTAGATCTTAATTTTTTTTGAAAAAAAGTGTAAATTGAACCTTTTAAAATTTTCAAAAATTTTAATTTAAATCTCTATTTTTTTTTTAATTTTAAGTTATCTTTTTAAACTTTATAACTAAGTTCTGACACGAAAAACACAGCCTTTGAATTGTTACACGCGGCCCAGGTGAAAACCGTGTGCAGCGAGTTTAGGTCAAATTTGCTACCAAAGTTTTTTCAATAATTAGATATAGACTATTCCATCATCTTAGACATTTCTTTTTCAATAACAATCATTTCATTGTACTGAAACCGTGTGCAGTGAGTGTGGGATATATATATATATATATATTATTCTTTTTAATTTAAGAGATACATATAATATAAGTTGTAATATAAAAAATAAACATTTTTAAAATATTACCAATACGACGCCATTTTGATATTAAACATAAATATATGTAATTTTTTTAGAATTTTTCTGTAGAAAAAGGTGTGCTTGATTAACAACACTTTTCCTCTATCAAACCTTTGTGTTTTTCTCATTTTCAATTTTTGATTGAATTATGTTATTATTTTTTATGCTTTGTATATGTAATATATGTATTTTAATTTGATTAATTATAATTTGTGTTCTTATAGTTTTTTATATTTATAATTTTAACTTAAACGTTATGTAGACAATATGGCTACATTTTTGTCATTGTCCAAATATAATTATTAATTTTTTTAAGTAGTTATATTTATAGTATTATTAGTAAGTTGAAAATTTAGTTCCTTTTCTTCAAGGTGATTATTTTAAGTTATTTTAATTTAATCATGTTATACCTGTACCGTTTTATATCAAAAATTTAAAATTAAAAAATATATATGGTTAAATTTAAAAGGTTAAAATATATGGATTAAATATACATAGAACATAAATTAGTGAGAAATTTGACCAAAAATTTAAAGGATGGAAGGTGTGATTCGATTAAAAAGATACATTTTTTATCATTAACTTTTTTTTAAAAAATTTTAAAATTTGGGTCCGTCCTAAATAATATAATGATAATATAATTAATTAAAAAAACTTAAAACAATCGAAGAAAATGAACTAAATTTATAGTTTAATGATAATATAACCGAAAAAGTAAAAAATAAATAAAATAAAATTATTACACACATGAGAGAGCCTTATTGGCCAAGCACGCCTTCCTTCACTTAACCTTTATCATTAGGGTGTAAATAAATAGAGTATTCAAAGAATTGATCAATGTTCGTTTATATTCATTTATTAAGTTAAATAAATTAATATTAATAAAATATATTTATTTATTTTATAAACGAACGAATACGAATATTATCTTATTTGTTTAAGTTTGGTTCATTTACATCTATATTTACCATTCTATGTAATAAATTTATCATCCAATCAAGAGATGCAGGAGACGCCAATAGTTAAGAATCCAAAACACAGTTGGGCCTCTGCCGGTGGGCTACGACTTGGTTTTGTACTTAACGTAATACAGGCTGCTAATGCATTCACTTTTCAGCTCTGAAAAAAACTGCTTACTTTTTTCAATTCAATGGCTAAAAAAAGCTCGAATGATCCCATTGACGATCCACCCACTGCTTCATCTTCTTCTTCGTCTTCCTCAGAGGAGACTTCAACCCAAACCCCACAATCCCAGAAAAACTCTACTCTCAGTGTCAAGCCAAATGCCACAAAACCCATGGAAGGAATCTCAAAGGCCAAAAAACCCAGATCCAAACCCTCGTCTTCTCCTGTTAAGGCTGCCTCAACGAAACGTCCCAGCGTGTCCGAGAAAGAACAAACCAAGGAATTGAAACGGTCCAAGAAGAAAGCCGGCGAAGAAGGGTCCGGTTCTGCTGATGTTGTTGAGGAAGAGGAGGAGGAGGAGAAGAAGATCGGAGAAGATGAAAAGAAGCAGCTTTTCCAACGACTGTTCAGCGACGAAGACGAAATTGCCGTGTTGAAAGGTTTGTTAGATTTCCTGGACAAAAAAGGGGTTGACCCTTTTGCTGATACGAATGCCTTTCATGATTTTGTTAAGGATTCGATTCATACTGATGTTTCGAAAGCTCAGTTGATGTATAAGGTTAGGAGGTTGAGGAAGAAATTTGAGAACAATGCTAGGAGGAGTAAGGACGGTGAGGATCGGACGTTTTCTAAATCCCATGAACAGCAAAGCTTTGAATTGTCCAAAAGGATTTGGGGTAAAGAAGGGATCATTAGTAAAATCGATTCTTCAGCTGCAAAACCAAAGGGGAACGGCAAGGCATTGGATGCATTGAAAGCAGAACCGGTTGCTTCAGCTGACGAGAAAGTGGATGATGGGGAGCCAGTGGAGGTGAATATCAAGTTGTCTAAGACTTCGGGTAGCTTGTTTGATAAGAAATCCGGTGTCGGTAGCTTAGAAGATGAAGTTTTGAAGCAAGGATTGGATATGGCTGGGGAAGAAAAGAGAGCAGCTTTGGAGGAGAAATGGAGGAAATTGCAGATTGCTGAGTTGGAGCTGTTTTTGGACAGGAATGAGTTGGTAATGGAACACGCCAAATGGATGTTGGAATTTTACAAGTCTCAAGATGCATAGGTTGCAGCGTTTTTTTCGTTGGTTGTCTTATATTTAAAGCGATTGCGGATGTAACATACGCATTATATAACGGTTATTCCGGGTATTGTGGTCGTACAATAATAGTTTCGGACAACACCTTTACCTATAATGGCTATTACTTACCGTTATACAACGGTTATTGCGGTTGTGGTCATACAATAATAGTTTCGGAAGATACCTTTACCGTTATATAACAATTACTATTCCTATAGCAGGTCTCCATTTAAATCACTTATAGGTGGTTGTCATTTGGTGTAGGATATGGTTTGTGTTCATTGCTCAACAAGTTTTTAGACATATTGCCTTAGGTTTGCTGCAACATTGCAGTATGTGAAATTGTGTATTATTTTGCTGCTTTAATCTTAAGTTTTCAATCTAATGCTTGTATTTGCTTTATTTTAATCTTTAGTTACAATTTCTCATGATATACTTCTGTACCGACACGTATTCGGATACCCTACAATCATCACAAATATACGAAAAAACTCTGCAACATAAGTGAAACATGGCCAAATTTAGAATAAATGTCCCTCAAATACCATATGTCCCCATACCTAATTAATAACACAACAACATATTAAAGATCATCCTTGGTAGTTTTAGATTTTATATTACTTCACAGGAGCAATACTACATACTGAGCATGAGATATGGCAGCCAGACCTGCTGCGACGTTCGAAGCACATGACCGACAAAAACCGAAATGGGAAGCACATGACCGACAAAAACCGAAATGGTAAGCAACAATTTCAGAATGATAATATGAGTTGCAGTTAAAACATATGATCCTCAAAAGTACTTAGGAGGTGCACTGCGGACTTTTATTTCTGGCTCTTCTTTTTCCATAAGTCGCCAAACATTTTGATCCCAGAGCCTTTGCGCTTTCCACTTCCAAAACCGTCATCCATATCGTCGCCTAAGCCTGGTGATCCGACATAACCTGCAAAACCACCACCAGCTGGAGTCACGAACACGCCACCGAAATGCTTGTCCATTGAGCTACACCGGTTCGAAATCCTCCCATTCATCTCCATGCCCCCAGAGAGAATAGCTGCTGCTGCATCCGCTGCTTTTCTCCACTGTTCAGTCTGTACCCTTAGCTTCTTCATCTCGGCTTCCAATGCTTCCTTTTGCTCTTCAGCTGATTGGAGCTTTTCCTTCAATTGAGCTGCGTCTGTTTTACTTGCTCCTAGTTCCTCCCCTACTTGGCTCAACTTCAAAGTAATTTCTTCCTCCTTGGCTTTAGCACTCGAAATGTTCAAGGTCGCTTCATTGAGCTGCTTTTTCAGGTCCTCGTTTTCTTGAGTAAACACACTAAGCTCCCTTTCTTTCTCTTCTAGCTTGGATTTCAGATTATTTATCTCATCATTTTTCAAAGCCAATTCATACAAAGATGGTTTCTCCGGCTCGGATACTGCTGGTGATGCGGTTGATATCTCTATTGCTTTGGTTTTCTCTTCTGCTTGATCGACTTCTTCAACTTCCACCTTAGGCTCAATCGCTGCCTTTTCCACCGGGACTTCAAAAACATCAGTTTCTCGTTGATTGTCTTCAGAAACTTCATCTCTAACGCTGCAGTCGGATTTCTTCAAATTTCGAGCTTTTTTCGGAGAAATATTTTCATTAGGTTCAACAGGTTGTGGAGCTTTCGGCTTCTTGGTTTTATTTTCCAGCTTTTCTTGTGCTTCTTTCTTTGCAGCTTCAGCTGAAGCCAACTGGTCTTTCAGATTCTTCAGCTCTTCTTGTGCCTGCCCCAGTTGAGATTCCAAATCCGCAATGCGAGTGCCAAACTTCTTCTGGTTCAATGGATCCGACTGGGGAGCACCTCTAGGGGAACGACGATCTCCAACCTTGGGACTACTCCGACCAGTAATCAGTCGATGATGCAGAGGGTCAGAATCAGAACTCGACGACCTAACCTGATGCGTGCCTTGAGGAGATTGCCTTTGTGGCATCTCTGAGCTCCTAGTCCTCATAAAAAGAAATTACATACAAATCAGAACAGGTAAACATGCAACACAAACCAACATTATTCTACTTACAAGCATGAACAAGAACAACATTCATCGTTCATGGCAGATTAGATTTCTCACCTTGATCTCGGCATTTTTGGCACTCGAACTTGGAAGAGTTTGTGATTGAAAAGGAACTAATTACTCAAAAAACTTGTAACCAGCAGAGTTTGTAATCTTCTGCAGATATTTTTTTTACAGAGATGAAAGTAGAAAGTCCTGCTGATAGTCAAAACAAACCACATATAATCAAAGCACTATCAAACAAGAAACATATCCACTAAAAATGTAAACAGAAGTTCCAAAAATAGTTCACTTTCCCAATACCCTATGCCTTTGATTCCTTATATATTTCTTTGCTGGTTTCCATGCCTTTTCTGGGGCAGTGCAAAAGCCATTTTTACACAATGGACAATTTCTTAATCATGAAAAATATAAATAGACATTAGAAAATATGAAATTTCCAAGGGTATTTTTGTAATTCGAGGAAGGTGATGTATGATTAAAGGGAAGCCAGGCATGCATGCGTTGCCCTCGTCTAATGTAAGGATTCCTGAGTCAAAATGTCACGCGCCACCGTGAGCGTGGTGGTGAGGTGAAGCAAATGCAAAATAAAATATTCCAAAGTATTAGGCTTGAAATTTTTTTTGGCTTATTATGCAGACAATCATACAAGGTTCTTAGTCTGCAAATTAGAAGAATTTGAAACCAGATCAAATTCCAAAGAATTAATTCAAACATTTTATATAAAAAAACCCAGTTTGAAAACTGCATTTCTTAATAAAAATAATCATAAAAAAGGAATAAACTTCAAAGCATTTTACAGCAGAAGCCATAAATTGTTAGCTAAAAGAACAACTCTTTGGATCAGATCTTTATATATATATATATGGAGCTACAAGTTGAAGTTGAAGTTGAACCCAGTTTTTACAACCTATTTTCATGTAAGCATAGCAAAGGAAACAATCAAAATGGAAAGGAATGATGGGTCTTAAATCTCAGGGACATTATAAAAATGAACTATCCATTGCATGGTTCATAACTGGATCCAAAAATCAAAACTTTATTGCTTTTTTTCAAAAGAGAGAATGAAGAAGAAAGCTAGCTTACCTTAAAAAGGAAATGAAGAACCTTAAGCCATGAGAGACCCGAGAAAGCTTTAAGTTCTGAAACTGAAAGCAAAGCAATGGAGAAAGCAAAATGATACAGAAATTCGTTTAAAGCAATGAAGCAGAGAGAGAAGAGAACCAGGGTTCAAAAGTTTGAATAAAAGCTGCAAATGGTAAAGCAATATTTATATGAATAGAAGTTTGAATTCGAATGCTAAAGCTATAATTTCTTGTATTATTGTCAGATTGTGATTGTTTTTTATTAAAAGAAATTGAAGGGAAAAGGACGAGAGTGTAATTTTGTGGGAAAATATTGGTAGTATATAATCTTGGAAATCCCAACCTGTATCTTCAACCCTTGTCTTTTTGTCTCTTTTCAAATCTTCGACTTTTTTTTTATTTTTCTTCTTTCTCTTATCACTGTGCATGCACATGCACTTTATATATGAATTTTATTAATAATTGAGCAGTTTTGATATATATATCACAATATTATAAACTTTATTATGTGTATATAAATAATGAGATTTTATGTGGTAGTTACTCATCTTGTCACTTAATTGTGAGATTAAGATTCAATTATCACTTATTCATTAATAATTAAATGTTGTGACAGTTGAGTTAGGACATTTAATCCGTTTGTCAAATTATTTATTTTTATTTTTTTATATTTTTTTAGGTCATAGATTTTAGACTTATTATGAGTATTTCTCGTTCTTCCCTTAAAGTCTTTTATTCTTCTCCCCATAGGACTAGGATTAGATTTAGAATTTAAAATTTAGAATTTATAAAATAAAAAAATTATTGTGACAATTTAATAATAACATTAAAATTAAAAAAAATAATTACCCTTCTCCCTCTTAAAAAATAAAATTAGGTTTTGAGGTTTTCACATACGTAAGAAGTTTAAAATGTTTATTCGAAAATAAATGATAAAAATAATCTTCTATAGATATACTAATTCCACGTGTTAACAAAATTAAAATCATGTTATTTTTTTGAAATAATTGAGGTTAGGTTTGTATTTTAAATTGAAAATTTTCCACTCAACCGCAAATGTATAGATATATATATATATATAATTTTTTTGGGTACATAAAATAGTCTTGTTCATGCAAATCAAATAAAGACTGCAAAAGTAGTGATATATTTTTTTTTCCAGAAAGTCCGAGGATAGAGATACTTAAGATTCAATTAGAATTTATCTAAAAATTTACAGATTACTCACTAAAATTAATAATGATAAGATTCAAACTTAACTTTATAAACTTAAATTTATAAATCTCATACCAATACTCGTTGCAGTAATACATTTGGTCAATGAATTATTCATTTATATACAACATGTTGACAAATAGTGCCAAAACTATTTTTAAAAAACTGAAACTCCTTACACTGATTTGTCTTTTGACAGTTATTTTTCTCAGATAATCCAACTTTTTATATATACGCATGCATGCAAATCAATTTTATTTATTTGTTCTTTTATGTTTGATCTCTTTCGGTTTTCCATACCAACACAAAATAGCTTTATTCTAAATTTATTACTATTACCACTTCATCTATTTATATATTATAAATTCGATTATATTCATAATTATATAGATATATTAATTATAATTTTATTATTGGGTTTGGAGAATACATAATTCCAAAAAAGGTTTAAAATAAGAGAAAATCGTCTCAGTGACAAAAAATGCCTTATAATATACGATTTTAACCAACTTTTTCCGGATTTGCCAAAATGACCAACAAAATCGCAATGCGATCGCTAATTCGCAACGCGATCTCCATTATCGCAAATTCGCGTTGCATTTCGCGTTGCGATAGTTGGAAATCGCGTTGCGATGGTCTACAGTGTCGTTGCGATTTTCCCAATTCGCAATGCGAATAAGTAAATCGCAACGCGAATTGGAAAAATCGCAATGCGATACTGACTATCGCAATGCAATACTTACTATCGCAATGCGATAATACAAAATCGCAACGAGATACTGACTTTCGCAACGCGATTCTGACTTTCGCAACGCGATTTACATAGCGCCATTCGTACTAACGCGTATTTTTTTTTTCAAATTCCAAACACGAATTTCTTCTTAATAAATCGGAAACTGAACCGTCCACAGTAATCGCAACTCATAACCTCAAACCCTAAATCACAATACTCAGTCCCATCTCCATCTCTCACTCTCTACGGCGAAATCCGTCCCCATCTCCGAAGATTTCCGTCCCCATCGCCGGCGAAATCTCTCACAACCATTCACAGTCAAAAATCCCTCACAATCATTCAGAAATGGAAAATCAACCTCCGAGGGTTAGTTTTTTATTTTTATTTTGAAATTTTTGCATTATTTTAGGTTTTTAATATTGAGATTGATGATAAGTTTACTGGTAATTTCAATAATAGATTAACCATTTCACTTAGATTTCTTATTAAATTCATTCGATTGCTGCCAATACTGCTAAACTGTTTAGCCTGTGAAGTTAGTATTTGTCTTTGTTTTGTCTTTTGGTTGAAGTAATGCAGAAGAAGAATAGTTTCGAGAATGAAAATCGCAACGCGGAAATAACTATCGCAACGAGAGAATCGCAATGCGAAATAAAAAACGCAACGCGAAACAAAAATCGTATTGCGATTTTCATTTCGCGTTGCGATTCTCTCGTCCTGATAGTCATTTCGCGTTGCAATTCTCTCGTTGCGATAGTCATTTCCGCGTTGCGATTCTCATTATCTCGTTGCGATTTTCATTTCAACCAAAAGACAAAACAGTGTTGCAAATTTTAGTTTCAAGAATAACTACTATTTATGTTTATTGTTTTTGGTATATCTTGACAGTGTAGTTTTTGGTATATCTAACTTGGTATGTTTATTGTTTTTTTGTAGAAATTTTTTTCGGCTTCATTGACATTAAGGAATAAAGTTAGCCTAGCCACTACAATTGCTTCGAAGCTTTCACCTGCACAGAGAAAATTGTTTGAAGAAACCTGCTTCGGGCCATGGCTGAGAGTACAGCATCCGGGTGGAGATGCTAGTTTGACCCATTTGTGGCTTCAGACCATGACTAGCGATCTACCCGACAGTATACAACGTGGTGAGGAAGAGATATGGTTTCATTTTCCACCGGCGGATACTTGTTTTGGGCGGAAGGAGTTCTGCTTAATCACTGGTCTACGATTCGGACACGATGATGTAGGCCGGTACACTCGTCATATCACCCGCCCATCATGGTTATCCAGGGTTTTTCCTGATGAGTCAATAGAGAAGCCGAACTTACACGTCGACGACATGAAGAAATTGTTTAATAAGAAAGATGGTTTTACTCGGATGAATGACGTCGATGTTGTCCGAGTATGCCTTCTACTACTTTTGTATGCCGACTTTTTAGGCAGAGAGGCCAGACAACCTATTCCTCATGAGCTAATATTATTGGTAGAGGACCTAAATGCATGGAATCTGTTTCCGTGGGGTTCGTATATATGGAAAGCTACCTGGACTAAGTTGTCGTCTGCCTTTGATGACCGCAAAAGTTTGCGGGGCGATGGGTCGAAATACACTTTGTCAGGCTTTGTTTGGGCCTTTAAGGTAAGAATTTCTATATAATGTTTTCAAAATTATAATTAATTATTTAACAATTACTAATGTTTGTTATTATATTATTTGTAGATTTGGATATTCGAGGCCTTTCCCGCCATGAAGACATATGCAATAAAAACTTCAAATGATATTCCCAGGGCTATTTCCTGGAAGAGGAAACGTCTGTTGGATTGGGAAGACTTAATACCATATGCGACAATAAATAATGTAAGTTAACACAAATACTATCATATATAAACAAGTTATTAATAGTAGACGTTTAACTTTGTTTGAGTTTTTATATTTTTAGGAGGCCAACATTCCATTAATGAGACTGACACCCACGGAGGCTGAGCTTGCCACTGATTGGTGGCAAGCTAGTCAGCGTTTTCTTGATGGCACGAATGATGAGCAGCCTCCACTTCCTCCACTTCGAGAGCCATCACCTCACCCAGAGCCATCACCTGATCGACCCGACTATACACCTCTACAACGAGAGCCATCACCTATCCCGTCACATCATCGAGCCTCTTCTCCACCATCACCTCATGATAGGCGACCGACAAAGATGCCACGACTTCTATCTCCCTATTCTCCACCTCCACAGGATGAGTCAAGGGAGTTACGTGATGAGGTCAATGTCTTGCGTGAGGAGATCGGTACTCTACTCGATAACGATGGTGCATGGCGTGTGGAGGTG